CAAGTGCATCCCAAAGATCATGACCTTCAACGAATTCTCTGGGTTAATGAATCATCTCAAGTTCAGGAATATCAGCTTACGTCTGTCACGTACGGTACTCGCTCGGCTCCTTATCTAGCCTATCGCATTCTAAGACAGCTCGTTGAAGATGAAGGTCATAAGTATCCTCTCGCGGTCAACCCTWYWCTCAAGGGAAGCTATGTTGACGACATATCAGGGGGGGCAGAGACTATTGATCATCTCAATGCCGTAGCATCTCAGTTAGAGGACATGTGCTCCTCCGCCTGTTTACCACTTGACAAGTGGAAAAGTAATTCTCCTAACCTCACACGCACCTCTCTCTCACAGTCGGACAGCTCGCCTGTCCATTTGTTTGATGATAGCACTACCAAGATTTTAGGCATCTCCTGGAACTCTCAGAAAGATGTGTTTTCTTTTTACGGTACCATCTCTTTCCATCAAGCTGTCACGAAACGCATCATTCTCTCCCAAGTTGCCCAATTGTTTGATCCTCTAAGACTCCTCTTTCCGGTAGTGATCAAAGCGAAAGTCCTCATGCAGCGACTCTGGTTGGAAAAGGTTGGTTGGGATGATCATCTCACTCCAAACATAGTTCACGAGTGGTCCCAGTTTAGGCAACATCTCTCTCAGTTATCAGTCATAGAGACTCCCCGACGGATAAACCTCTCGTCAAAGGCAACCTCAATACAGGTTTATGGCTTCTCAGACGCCTCTCAACTTGCTATGGCAGCAGTTGTATATATCAGGGTGTCGTATGCTGACGCATCTTCAGTAGTCAGTCTAGTCTTTTCTAAGACGAAAGAAGCTCCTCTTCAGAGGTTAACCGTTCTTAGACTTGAACTCTTAGCAGCGGCTCTGCTAGCCAAGCTGACCGCAAAAGTAATTAGACTTCTCGACCTCTCGGACGTTCCTACTTTCCTGTGGTCTGACTCTTCGGTGACCCTTGCATGGGTCAAAAACAATCCTATGAGATGGAAGGAATTCGTAGGCAATAGGGTAGCCGCTATTCACGAGTCTGTACCCCATGCTCCTTGGAGATTCCTCTCCGGAAAGCTCAATCCAGCTGACTGTGCATCTCGCGGTCTCAGTGCATCTCAACTCATTGATCACCTACTATGGTGGAGTAGTCCACTATGGCTTTCTCAGTCGCCAGAATTTTCGCCCTYGTCAGTGCCACCCTCACCGGAGGAAGATTTGGAGGAACGTCCTGGCATCTCACTTGCACTCTCACAAGCCCATCCTCCAGTTTGGGACCTCGTTGACCTTCCGCAGTCATCCTCCTTTAATCGGCATCTCACTAAACTACTTCGGATCACGGCRATCATTCAGAGAGCGGTCTCGCGCTTTAGGAGGGTTCCTTGCTCGAGCTTGTCCGCCTCGCCATTGAATCCAGCAGACCTGGAGAAGGCAAAATCGTTCTGGATACGCGCGACTCAAGAGGCGTATTTCTTACCAGAATTAAGAACGTTGTCGGCAGGTCAATCTCTTCACAAACGTCACGTTCTGACGCGACTCACGGCCTTTGTCGATCGTGCAGGAATT